AAAAAAAAACTTAAAAGGGCTTTGAACTTGTGACCTGTGATGCTGCCACAATGTTCTGCCTACTGAGCTATCAAGCCAATTGGGAGCTGGCAAGATCTCTGAAAGTTCATTTTCCTCAACAAAAATGAATAGAGGATAACTATATCAGGTATCTGAACTATTCTTTTAAAATATTTACTATTCATTGAAAGTTTTTTCCAGGCTTTGTTTTTTGCTACTGCTTAAAGGGCCTTAGTCAGCCACACCTTTGTTTTGGTTTACAAGCAAGAGTTTAGCTGTTAAGTTTAATTTGGAGCCTGTTGAAACAAAGGAAACCACTGTGAAACTACTAAAAGATAATTAAACACACTTTCAGGAACACAACTTACAGAAAAGACTTCGCTTCACCATTGCAACATTAATAATTCTGATGGCATTGAAAATGGCGGAGCCTGACTAGGTCCTTTAAGCAGTAATCATCATGTTTAAATTTTTACCATAGTTCACCTTGGAAATTTCTTTTTCCGAGAGTACTTTACCACCTCTACCAGCCCTCACTTCTTCAACTTGTTCAAACATAACTTCAGCTTCTCTTGTCTTAGTGTAAGCACTACGTTTTGCCTAGTTGGAAATCAAATGGAATGCTAAGGTCTGACAGGAATTTTTTTTTTTCACAAAAAGGTGGACCAACCTTTTTGTAAGTAATTAAATGTGTGACCAAAATTTACTTTCATATCATTACATTTGGCAAACCACTGTGAAATTTCCGTTTATCTCTTTGACTAGACTTGTGCAGACGTAGTGTTTTGGAGAAGAGCAATTTATGTGAAAATTGTTCTGCTTTAAGCTTATTTTTTTTGTCATCCAAAATCATTGAAAATTTGTATACAGCCTTATGATTTTCAAATTAAAGAAAGTAAACAAGCTGTAAACAGTTTAGCCAGGACAAATGGATGAATGATGGTAATTTCTACCACTAAGAAAAATACATTCTATTTGGTTGATAAACTTCAGTAACATGGTTCTACTTTTCAGGCAGGTGTGTCCAACAGCTCTGTTCAATCAAATAGAAAGTTTGCCTGGTTTCTTACAGCATGATCACTCACTCTATTATACAACAGTATCAGCTTTTCTATAACAGGACATAAGTTGACAAAAACTATTACCTTAAGAGCATCATTTAGTTTATCAACAAAATTCTTGTATGATTTGTCTACCAGAGCCTCCACCTACATGAAAAAGGAATATTAGAGTATGGCTATTTGTGGTGTCCTCATCCAAATGGAAACAAATCAATACCTTAGAACCAATTCGGATGGTATATTCCAGTTGTAGCGTGTACTGGTCATATCATGCAAAAATTATATGCAACTTTTATCAGATGTTGACTTTTTCAGATGTCATATAGTTGTTGCAGAATTTTAAAACACATTTCAAAACCTCATATCATTTTTTGTGCCATACATAACAGTCATGAAAAAGCTGTACATTTCATTTGCAGATTAAAACAATTAATTTTGTGTCAGCTAGTGCCTTGCCACTTACAATTAAGTTGTACAGTCTAAGCTGAAATCTGCCATAAATTTGTCAGGTCAAGCTTTCCAGGATGACAAAATATCAATGTTAAAAGCAACCGTAAACCTGTGATCAATTGTAGCTCAGAAGATGAAGAGCCTGAGTCAAAATTGATAGAAAAGTGGGCATTTGTTTTGAGGGGGGAGGGGGGTGTGAGTTGAAACTTGGACTTCAACCTTATTAATGGAATCAATTTTAGCCCTGACTTATCATTCCATAGGCAGTTGATACACAGCAAACCACACTGTACATCTGTCAAGTATTTAGAATTGATCACCCAGAGTTTTACAAGTCCACATTTACACATCTAGCTACACTTAAGTTTAAGTGGGAAACTCCATACCGCTTTCCTTGCTTTTGACTGTGTTTCCACAAAGGCTTTGAC